ATTTTATCAATGATTCTACGTATGAAATATCCAATAGATCTGTGAAGAGACGTTTAATGCTCGTCGTGATGAAGGAGTCGGGCCAGAGGGCGAGAGCAGAGAGCATCAGTCATACGTGTCCATTTCATCATGGGGTCAAAGGTTAACACCTCCCCTGGGTGCTGCATCTCTGCTGTCTTCACATTAAACTGGTTATAGAAGCAGAAACAGCTGCATCCGTCTTTTTATCCCTGTGGGAAACATGTGCAGTCGTTTAGGTGACAAAGGAAATCAATACTCACAGTGATCAGAACTCACGTGTCGTGAAATCACTCAATCAATTCTCTATGTGTTGAGACAACATTTCTACAAACACACAAAACTAAAACCACAACGGGAAATCAGGTTCTGTTTCACACTACACACACACACACACACATACACTCACACACACACACACACACACAGACACATACACTCACACACACATACACACACACAGACACATACACTCACACACACACACACACACACACACATACACACACAGTCTGTGGGTGTGACACGTAGTTTATGATAATTGATGTTCACAAATGTGAGTTTTATTTGTACTGAAACACAAAGATGTATTATCATTGTTGTTATTATGAATTCTTCATCCTTTAATTGACTTTAATAAGATACACGTTGTATCACTGAATGTCCAGTGAAGAGCAGTCATTCACTGAAATTGTGTTTATTCGCTGTTTAACAACAACAGTATATTTATGATTGCTTGAATGCAGTGAAGTTGTTATCAGGCTCATATACATTGAATCTGCTCGTCAGTGCATGAATTTAATCACTTTATTGAATTTGACGTCTTTTCTGCAACAGGCACAAAAAGAAACAGCTTGAGTCAACAAAGACTTTTCACATTGAGCAGTTTTATTACTAAATGTCTCCAGGCTGAACGAGGGAAACACATTTGTCTCTGATCTTCTCTCTGAAGCCAAGAGGAGCTGAGGGACCTTTAACGAGCTGCTCCGTTTTTATGGTCCGGAGGATTAAGAACTAATGAAACAACGTAAACGCTGCAAGAGACAAGTCTCTGCTCTGCATTTCAGCATTTCTACACTTATCTGTATCATCTGGATTAAACCTGGGTTTGGTTCTTTGCTTTCATTCTTCACAGTTTGTGGTGAAATTCAACGAGCAGGAGTCAACTCAGACGTCTGAGCTGGACGGAGACATCATCAAATCTCCAGGAATAAAATCATTCGGACCGTGAGCTCAAACAATTCAGTGATTTTATTCACAATGGTTTGAAAACGAAGCTCAGCGCAGATTTGATTATACGTTCCGCTCTCTGTTTGGTTTTCTTGCTCCTTCCTGTTTTCTGTTTGTCGCTCTTCACACATTCAGACCATCAGTGTCACAGCAGCTGCTCCGACTCTCCTCATCATTGTTTTTCCTCATTATTACTCAGTGAAGATTCAGAAACAAGGACTTTGAAATGACAGCTGCTGATTGATGCACTTTCCATCGCTCACAGATTTTCATCTGGTTTCATGAAGATGATGAAAACATTTTGATCTCAACCCGTCATCAGAACTGAGCTGCCTCCGCCCACAAGAACGCTGTTGTTTGGAGAACGTTGTTGTTTGAAGAATGTTGTTGTGTGAAGAACGTTGTTGTGTGAAGAACGTTGTTGTGTGAAGAATGTTGTTGTGTGAAGAACATTATTGTTTGAAGAACGTTGTTGTTTGAAGAATGTTGTTGTTTGGAGAACGTTGTTGTGTGAAGAACGTTATTGTGTGAAGAACGTTGTTGTTTGTAGAATGTTGTTGTTTGGAGAACGTTGTTGTGTGAAGAACGTTGTTGTTTGGAGAACGTTGTTGTGTGAAGAATGTTGTTGTGTGAAGAACGTTGTTGTGTGAAGAACGTTGTTATTTGTAGAATGTTGTTGTGTGAAGAACGTTGTTGTTTGGAGAACGTTGTT